TCCGAAATTATAGGTCCATTTAATGTATAAGCTGAAATACTACACCTGTTGTTTTTTGCCTATATTTATAATTCTAGATAAAACATTAACGGTTAAGATACGTATCCTGAAACAGAAAAGAAATCTCGTTTGTAAAACTACTACCCAACACAATAAGTGGAATAAAATGGACATAAACCGACAACATGAAAAAGGTATAACTCACCACAACATCACATGGACAGATGAAAGCTCGTTGGGCACCATATATCCCTCACCAACTGCAACCCACCTTTCCTTAGATAATGTGATGAAGTTATATCCATAATGTTGCTGAGCAGTTAATATTCTCAACTCCTGTCGGAACAGCTGAAACTCATAAACCTTCCTAACGCTAAGAAAATACCCACAAGCAGTAGAAATCCAGTAATTAATGCGTCTGAAGCTTATGTATTTACTCCCAACAATGACATTGCAGATCAAATGGGATAAAAATATCACTGATTTCAAAATAACACATCAATGAACCGTAATTCAAGGATTCTGCACACAACAAAGTTATGTATGAAAATTGACTTCAAGCTTTATTTTTTTTCCCAGGCACTTGTAATCCATCCACCAAAGACCTGGTTTTTTGTTAATGCGAAGACAATACTTCTGTATTTCCTGATGTGTTGCACTGACTGACAATCTAGCAGATTTTTCCAACAGTGCACAGAAATGATTGTATATAAGTGAAAAGGCTGTTTTATGCTACTAGGATTAACATTTATCAAGTGTATGTATAATCTCCATCGAACATGTAAAGCATATCTTGCTACTGCCTGTAGATTGTGATTGAATTATTTGGTTCTATTTCTGTAACAATTTGATGATGCCTGTAAACTGGCGTCCCTCATGTACTGTACTATGAGAATGAATTTATTTATTTATTATTTATTTATTCTCATGGAGGGCTTGCATCCAACCCTGCTTCAGTGTATCCTCTTCCAACATGCTTTCTCCAACAATCTGTTTTAGTTTGTGCAATAACTATTTATAATCCATCCCCGAATGTTCTTCTATTGAAACAGTTTTAGACAGTTTTTAGACATTGAGAGGCGTTTTCTTACTTTGCATTTAAGCAGTGTTTATGGCTGCTAACACGAGGGGCGAACTGTAAGCGTAAGCTGCCGCACCTCTCTGCTAATCTTTTTGGAACATATTCGCTAGTACATTTATTATTTATCCGACAAAGTAACTAGGAGCAGACATCTCCATATGTTGTGCTCTCAGAATTACTGCCACACCGGTTAAAGTAGGGCTCTAGTTGAACAAACCGTAGTTCCAGGTCAAACAGACGGAATTCAGGCGGTCTAAATTTGGTGGACACTACGGAATTCGCCTCCGTAGAACAAAAGTTACTACAATCGGTTTCCATGGTTGATAACTAAGAAACTATAATGGATAAAAAGCCAAGCTAAATGGTATATACGGATAAAAACAACCAACGAAATGAAAACACATGAATTATGTTTCAACATGACGAAATAAAAGGTGCACTGTGATCGATTCAATCTCGCGAGTTTGGTATCCAACACTCCTGTCAAAATAATTAGCCAGACTGTCGGCTGTACGTTTTGTCACAGAGGAAACTTGTAATACCTGAGTGTTTATTTTGTGAAGCAGAGTGGTGGGTAATTGAACCGGAGAAACCCAGAAAGACATACGACAGGCCAACTATTATCCAGCATATGAAATGAGCGCGATCAGCCATGGACGAATCGTCGTTACCAATTAGCCACTCATCCCATCCTTCTGAATTTCTTGATCATAGCGTCTCCTGTTTTAGAGACCCTGTATGGTCTTCTGGCTTTACTCGCCCACCACTGCGGTTCGAAAACCAAGCGTTCGGAACTGTCCTCTGAGATGACATGTGTTCTCGGTCGATTATTTGGGGGGATATTTTGATAAAAGAACGGGTGAATACAAGTGTTTACAATAATTTTAAAGCTAAAATCGAATGGCGATTTCCGAATACGCCAGGGTTTAAAATATCGAGAGCGAGAGATTTATAACCACATAATTTCCTTTTCATTCCATTTACACCAGGCAACTATGTATTAATGTAACCATGTTCTTCAGTACACATCCCAAAGATGCATCGTTAACTCCTATAACAATAAGATCAATATGAGTAAGTAGCAAATTTTAGAACCAAATTAAACTCCTGGAGACAACGTCCTGCTGAACCTCTGAGGATTATTGTCGCTTAGACTGTCCTGAATGTCCTGAGTCATTCTCTTGGTGAAAATTACACTGATCTCATCAGAATTGCTAGTTGTGACTGGCCTGTTGTTATACAGAAACAGATCGAGTGGCGAAACTAGAGATATCGACTCCCTGTGCGTCGGTGGCACAGTGGTTAGGACTCTCGCCGACCATGCACATGGTCCGAGGTTCGATCCCCTGCCGGCGCACACCCGATATCTATGGTCGGCCTGAATTTGGGCTACCGATATCCATGCTGAAAATTCCACACTTGTACTGAAAATACGGTGTGGCATCAAGCTGTAAATCAAAATAAAAAATGAAATAAAAATTTTATGGGATCAAATTTCGCTCACAGTTTAGTACCTACCTATTCAAATGTTTGCCAAGTTGGAATGCCAATAATGAGGAACTCATCAGCTTTCGCCGACTGGTCGGTCAATAAAGTTTGAGTCGGATTTACGAATGCACTTGACTATATTATACTATCTTTTTCACCTTAGCCATCCGAAAGCACTCCTTGGATAAGCAAAGAAATTAAGGTGATATCATGGGAAGGGAAACAGTCATGATAGAAGTTTGCCGAGATTGGAAGTATGGAGTTCGGTCAGAGTACTGAGAATCTACGAACCTCTGGGAAACGGTGGTTGTAGTAACCTAGAGGATATGAGAAACAGTCGACACCTGTCTACTTTCACTGCCCCAAATTACTCAAATAAAAGATGAGTGGGTAAATGAATCAGCTGGAGTAGAGGCCGTGAACCTACCAAAGTACTTCTACGATGGTTTCTTTTATGATATTGATGAACAAGAACTTGATGGTGGTGTCAGCTTCATATAAATGCTCAGTATGATGTCAGGTAGTGTGATGGTGCTTAGACTACCATTAATCTCAAGCAACAGGACGGGTTGAGGTTCTTCTTAGGCCGTTGTTTTTCCCAGCTGACACGGCATACTGCTTACAGGATATTCACCACCATGCGAATATTCAACGCCAGGCTACCCGGTGATCGAAAGATGCGAATGTGACCCAATTCCTGAAGGAGGCTGATAGATGGATTGTATCAAGTCACCAGCCTATGAACTCCACCCGCCGTCTGGTGGACAAACTTTCCCCAGTGGTGGAGCGGCAGCAGTAATTCAGCCTGGGACGATCCTGACTGAAAAATTAGTTGATAGCTAGGCAAAAGTGGGTAGAAGCAAGAGACATGAGACTACTGTCTGATTCAGCGTTTATAAACCTTAGCAAAGCATTCGACTTGGTGTACTGAGGAACTTCCTTCAGTACCCTTAAGGGATTTGCTTCGGCTAACATCTCGTGTGATTTATTTATGTGCTGCCGACTGAACACAAGCTTAAGGATGGAAAGAAAAGTGATAAATTTGGGTGGAAAGCCTTCTCGAATTGGGTCACTCAAGGTGCTATTACAGGCTCCTTGCCTGTCTTGTAACATGAACGAAACATTCCAATCTTGAATGATAAGAAAAAGACATAAGCTGAGAAGAAAATGTTCTTTTCGACCAATCATTTTCACAAGCTATACAATCGTAATTATACTTCAGAAAGAAATTAAAAGACCAATCAGATACTGGTAATATTTGTTCTTGGAAAACGTATTTATGTCTTTTTATTCCCCGTAATACACTGCCAATTTTCCGAACACCCAAAAGTAAACACCAATATATATGGATCAGTAAAAATGCGCTAGGTTATCCCTACTATACAAATTAGCTCCAAAAAGTTTTCGGTATCGCCTCTAGGTCAGAGATCTGGATTGACATGCCGCTTGGAAACAACAAAATACTTGGTATCAAGAAACAAAGGGATTTACGAGCCCTTCCCACCGATAGCTTAACAGTTGCTGAGCGCCTAAGGAAATTCAAAGCCAAACAGCTACAAATTTTGTAGGATCTACTTGAAGCTTTCACTTGCTTATTTGAGGACAAGTTTTATGCGCTCCACTCAGCGTGTTGAGCGTTAACATGGCCACTGTCCACAGGCTTCCGGTTTGCGTTTCAGTGTGTCGAAAGTCTATGATCAAGTAAAAGGGAAAGGCGTTAAACGATTAGATGAGCCTAAGTTCAAAGTACTCTACGCAGCACGTGTCAGGCCTCATACCCCATGCTTTTAAAAGGAGGCACATATCTTGAAAAGAGTGTGAAGGGTAGTCATTGGTATTTCCTACCTCCCATAAGAGAATAAAATGGAACGTTCGGGTCTCTATTACCGAAATGAAGGAGACGAGGTGACTTGATTCCGATATACTGTATATTACAGGGAGATTTGGGGAGTGAACTTTCTAGCCCTTCCTATGCTTAGGGGACAGGTCCACGAGTGGAACTCCCCACCTGGTCAAGCAGCATTACCTCCATTGGTGGAAGCCTTCAAGGCGAAATTAAATCTCTGAAGATGTATATATATATTGCAAGGATTAACACAGGCCACAAAGCACTACCATAGGTGTTACTTAATGTGAATCTAACTCGTGGGAAGTGGACCTATCTTAGGTTATCGCTTACTAACCAGCTAGTTGGGTGTTGACTTCTCTAACATACTTTCTCAGAGTGGGATATTTAAGAGGGGTCACAGGGAATAGGTGCTTAAACATCAGTTAGATTAGACTTCGGTAGTATTCACATTCTTCCAACGGGCGGTCAAAGTCTGGAAATATTTACTGAATCAGGTGGTATCGAATCTTCTGTGAAAAATTTCAAGGAGAAATATACAGTAAGGATGAACACAGCTGTCAGTCGGCTACTGTCCATTATCACAGATTCGCAGTTGAAACCATCCTGTGCCCGCGGTACATTCAAATCGCTGTTGTGCACGCTTATTGATTATGCCTAAAAATAAAGGTGAGTTGCCACTAATATATGTATGACTGTGATTACCGATGAAAATTGAGCATCATCTATCTCAACCTTTATTATTTTCAATATAACAGGTAAAGGAGGTAAAAATCGTCGTCGAGGGAAGAATGAGAATGAAAGTCAAAAGCGTGACCTTATCTACAAGGAAGCTGGCCAAGGTAAATGGTTTCATACACTTGTTAATCCTCGAGTTTTGATTGACACTTGTAGCTGTTTTTTAAGTGGTTTCTTATTGGGGTTGAAATATACCTAAAGATAAACAGCTCTAAATTCAGCTCCACTGGGTGTCGCTTGTTTCCTACTCCATACTGTGCTCATGTTTTCATTCTCTTCAACCCCTCAATACCTGAAGCCCAATAATCAATTTGTTGTGCTTGTCCCTCTATTTGTTGAACCAGGACGTTCAATTCCCATCTCCTAATATACTAGTTATGCCATGAGACTGTCATTCAGTATGGAAACCTGTTTGGTGTTCACTCCTGCCACGTATGATTGTGTATTCCACACCTATTTTGTCCGTTCGTTTTAATATTATGGTTTTCCACTTCAAATATTTCTCATGCACTATAGTGTTTTCAGTCTCGTGATATTGCAGCTCGTACTCCTTGTACAAATGTCTTCTGACGAGGTAATCTTAGGGGCTTGACAACTTCAATATCAGCATTAATGTAGACGAAAGTAAAACTGGAGACAGTATTCAAACACCACTTGCACTTTTATTTAGTTGGCAATGAGCCATACTTATGTTGTGAGGACTACTAATAATACCTGATTACAGACTTCAGTGAATAATAGTTATACACTATCGTTTGCAGGCATTAAGTCGCTGTTCATTCACTGATTACAAAGTTGCTGAGGTCTTGTATTTCTCAAGATTCGTGCTAATAAAACGTATTGCTAACTAAGCTATTGTACTCAACTGTGTGAAAATAGGTTCTTATGGAATTTACTCTTATTTGTTCTGAAAGTGTTGACTGTGTTGTGTCCGGTAGTTGGTCCAGATTCACTTATTCGAAACAGATTGATCATATAGCAGGCTGTAAACTACATTCATTGTGTCAACTGATTTTACCTAGGTGCCCAGGATGAAGTAGACGAAATGGGATTCAAACCCTGGGGCTATTGGTTGAAAACCAGGCACTGAAAGTGATCACTCACATCTCCCCAGTGTGAAGCTGTCATAAGATGGCCTTTTTCAACTGTGTATACAGATACTTAAGTCCGTCAACAGTTTCAGTTAGATCCGAGGAACAGTACCAACCCTACCCACAACTTTCGTAGTCCCACGTAATTTGAGTCTTTTGTCAGTTCATGGAAGAATACTGTGAGACAATATGAAATTATAGGTACACGAGTTCAAGGATTGCAAAAGAATACTGGGTTACACAGGAGAGTTTCAGTTTTCTTGTCAGGTGAACTATTTCATTAGTTAACAGAAGGTGGTACTACTAACAAATTTGCTATTGCCAAGATGGGTAGTATTTGAGTCACTGCGCAATGGGACCATAAACTTCCTATATCCAAGGAACTGACACAATTCGCACATGTCACACTCACCTTTTAGACTAAAACTTACCGTCCAACATATAAAGAAGATACTATCCCATGAAAGAATTCCCTTCACCCTGTTGCTCCAAGTTATGGGCTTACTATTATTCAACTCCATTAAATCACTTTCAGGACTAGTAGACATTATATAGTTTGAAAGTCTCGACGACGTTACTCTTAGTACAATCAAGCTGCGTATGTCAGTGATCCAAGGTGACAGTAGTTATTAACGCGCTTCTAGACTTCAAAGTCGTACCAGTATCCGCAGATATAGGTAGTCCTATGGAGATAGGGATGGTTGAAAACAGTCACCCGATATCCTACTGAAAACGTACAACTCGAAGGCATTGTTAATACTATCTTTCACAATCAGAATAACTCTTAGTGCGTAAATGGTGACTGAGATCGATATAACCCTCTTTGGCTTTCGACGTATAAATGGGAATGTCACATGATATAGTTCTAACATGTCAAATGCAAATATCTAAATACGCTAACTTTTCGTCTACTCCCAAACTTTAACTTACGAGGTCGACTGTCCATTCACTTTATTGATTTTAGTGTGGTGTGGTCACCACATTTATAATCGAATAACTGTATAAAAGAAAGAGAAATAGAACAGTTGGGTTATTAGCAGTGAAATAGATGAGTATACTTGTCAAGTACATCCAAACGAATGTTCATTACTTCATCTTGCTTTTCAGTACTAACAGAAACAAAGATTCTGACCTATATCTGACAACTTTTCGAGCTACTAAGCTGCATTACACTTCATATGCACAAACATATAGTATCCTAAAATGAGTATCCTTCATCCCATGACTCCACATCATAAACTACGTTCATTTTCCCGACTTGTTCCAGGACTAACTAAACGTGGACAGTTGATAAGCAGCTAGGGAATCGGTTTTTTTATCAAGGTTTATCTTAAGTGATTCTAAAATTCATGATTACAAAACTTATGTTTTCAAAACATGCCCAAGTAGGGGGAAAAATGCACTATCCGGAGTTGTGGAACTTTACATCCATACAAAGAAGGAAAACTTGCGTACTTCAAAACAATGAAATCCCCCCCAAAGAACTTTCCAGTCAGATCAAGCTGATAAGTATTGAGTCACAAAATCCTCCGGATATCACAGACTGTACGAAGCCAACGTGTCACTATCGTTTGTTAGTATAAATCGCCTCATTTCTAAACACCTCCAGACTGTGAGTTTATTTGATAGTAGACAACGATATTGTTACGCCTTGTGAGCCTCAAACTCAGAGTGGAACTAAGAAATGTAAACATAAAATCGATGTTCCACTATACAGATTATCAATCCACAGATACGGTCATCTTTTATACCATACGATCTAAACAAAGTATTCACCAGAAGGAGTATCACTGATCAGCATTCACCAGTGATTCACACGCTACTCACTTTTTCTTAGATTCTTTTCTTATAGCTGATTTACATTGAAAATAGCCTTGTGTAACAATGCACTTGTTTTTGTTTTTGTTGTTGTAGAGTACGCAAAAGTTGAGCGTCTGTTGGGTAATGGACGATTAGAAGCCTATTGTTTCGATGGTGTTAAAAGACTGTGTCATATTCGTGGGAAGTTACGCAAAAAGGTATTTCTTTCAGTGATGATACATGTATATATGTTTTCCTGATGTTAATGGTATAAATGCAAGTGAATTATTGTTTGGAAAGTGTGGATCAGCACACTTGTTCGTTAGATTTATTTTTATGATATAAGAATCAAATTTATTTTTACTAAAAAGCATTCATGTAATAATGTTGTTCTCCAAAACATAAACTTTAGTAAATCAATCACTATAGTTTGTTGCATCATACATAGTTCAATCAGCTTGTGATATTGATTTTCGATAGACTCCTTTGAGACTTAAAACGTCTTCTTGACTAATGTTTTGATGATGACTACTCATCATTAGTCTCAACAGTTTTCTTTTTAGGCTTTTGTTACCACTCTTAAATGCCTCATACATGAATTCATCACATTTTACTTGGTGCAGAGAATTTGATGTCTAATCTTTTACATGTAGATACTTCATGAGTGCATTGATATTAAGTCATGTGACAGTTAGTAATACAGTTGTTTTTTTGATCTTAAATGTGCTCGAGATCTATCGATCAGATGTAGGGTATATACTTATTAGGCGACATAGTTATGTTGCATTTAAATGCACTTGGGTTTTGCAAATAGATTGTAGATATCCACTAACTGAAAGGCGTGAACTTTCTTTCCGTGCTTCAGGTTCATCAGCAAGATGTATATGCTCTATGTCGTACGGTCAATAGGGTAGATTTCAGTTAACCTTCTTTGAACTAAACAAATACATTGATTCTTTGAGTTCCAAATGGAACAAAAGACTTAAAACCTTCAGCTCTGAAGCTTCAGTATAAATGATGTTTCCTTTTACTAGGTGATGTTGCTAGCCTCATGTCCAATTTTCCTCTTTAACGAACTTACCATTTTGGATAAGCGTGGTAAGGGAGTGCATCAGCCGGGGTTCAAACCTTGGACCACCTGCTTAGTTGGTGAGGATTCTACTGCTGAGCCACCACTAATGCACTTGTCCCAAGTTGACTCATATCTAATTAACTTGAGTACATAGTTCAGCATGGAGGTAGACATACAGGTTCAAATTTGGGTTGTGTGTGCAATTTTCCTCAAATGCTACACCTACACTTTTCTGACCAGTTCTGTCGACTACAACTTCATTTCGAGGATCTTACCTGTTGACCTCCACAATCTAACATTTATTTATTAGTAGTTATACACGTGGGATTGTGAGTATTGAAACTTTATAAGCATAATGTACGTTTTAGGCATTCCTTTTAGCAGCTAGTTTTTTTGCAGTATACTTTGGGTAGTATGTTTGAAAAAAAAGTTGTTCCTTTTATGAGTATTCCGTCTTTCTGCTGTCTGAAATGTTTTTGTTTCTTCTCTTGGTTTTATTTTTTCTGATAATTGTCAACTATTGATTAATTATGGGTGGTTAGGCTTTAGAAACATAGATTAAGGCGTGAGTATATGTGTGTATGTGTGCGGAACACAAGACTTCGTTCTGTCCTACTTTACCGCTGTGATACATCTACACTTTTCTTCAATAATTTGTCCTTCATGGCACACGCGTATGCCTGGATTCAACATAGAACTTGGCACCGAAGTGCAGCAGTTCGAGTTGCCGCGTTCCAAATAGCACACAAAGGTAGACAAGAAAATGAGTGAAGAGAATCAATAGAGTTTTGACAAGTATAAGAGTGAAGCAGAATGAGTAATGGTAGAAAGGAATATGAAAGATTACAGAGACTGAATACATCTGCGTAAGCCATTGACAACGATTTTGAGCCATGTCACCTATTGTCTCCAGCCATTGATTCTTAGAGTCCCGATGGCGGGCCCCAACCTGGAAGTCTGCATCTCCCTACCTGACTCAGTTTAACTGTCAGGGATTTCATGGACTGATGTCATGTTTTTGTTTGGCCACCACTTACTCTTTTCCAACCTGCACCTATATCAGCTAGTAATGCCTGTCGGGGGAGGCGATGGTTAGACATGCGCAGCACATGACCTAGCCATCTCAATCTATGTAACTTTATAGCCTCTTCGATTGGTTTTCCCTCTTTGCCCAACACTCTACGCCTAACGTCAACATTACTTACCTTATTATACCACCTAACACGAGAAAGAGATCGTAGATATCTATGATCACAGGCGTACGCTGATCACCCACTCTGTTTGTGTTATTTCCAATTTACTTCCTGTTTTAAAGTGTAAAAGTGTGTGCTGTATCATTTGGTTGAAATATTATTTCAATTTGCCACTTGTTTGATGTTGATTAGAGTGACTAATAACAGCATGTTGTCCAGTTACTCGTGTAGTTTCTTTCGAATAAACCTTGTATGATGGTTGGTATTTCGCGTCAACTGTCACGGGAACAATAGTCCTTCTTATTGCCTCACTAATAAGTTATTTTTGTTATTTTGTATGCACTCTATGTTTGAGCAACTTTCGTTTCACCTACATATTAAGCAGAAGAAAATATTTATCATTCTTTAAAAAAAAGTTAAAATTTAATCTGGTTTGATTACAAAGATTGTGAATGGTATGTATTTAAAGACTGACTGGAGATCTGCTTGTAGTTTGTGTTATCAGTTTTTCTGTTTGCCTTCATTCTAAAACACTAGATCGACTTTGTTAAGTAGTGAATAGTTCATCACAAATGTATTATCTACTTGATACTATAAACGGTAATCAAGAAAGCAGGTAGGTATATTTGCATGATGCTGAGATCAGTAGTGGCTCTACACTATTCACATCAACATATCGTGGTTGCTAGCTAACCAGATCTAAGTGATCTGAATACTAGACGGCTGTTTCCTTTGCTTGGGTCCGTGCTCATCAGCGGAGAGCTCAGAGAGCAAATTCAATATTAAGTATGTTCAAAATGCGTTCTTATGTCTTTCCATGTGACTATTCATTCTCTCTATTACATTCCTCCTCATTTCAGTTCTTTTTTTCACTTTCTCTGACTTTGTGTGATACGTAGAGTGTGGCGACTTAAACAGATGCACTCTTGTGCAAAGTTCTACATGGAAAATTTGTCAGTCACTCACGATACGTAGGAAATTAAGTATTTTGATTTGAATCACAATCTCTGTGAATAGATTATAACCGATAGATCGATAAATAATCGAATACTTCAGAATAGTTTATGTTATTGATAAAATTAAAAAGGAACATTCAAAACACAAATATTATTGTCTAATGTCATATTAAATTCGAAGACTTACAGGCGAAAACCAACAAGTTAGCAGAAGAAGCAGGCTGCAGCGACAGGACTTCAAGTAAAATAGATAAGACGGAGGTGATGAAGATAATGAACCAACAACAACAGGAACTAGTTGTTATCCACGAGAGAAATTTGAGGAAGATAACTTCATTCACTTATCTGGCGCGTCACTGAAGTAGAAGTAAAGTGCTCGCCAGCCACTAGGTGGTCCGGGGCTCGATCCCCGGTCGACGCACTCCCAAACCTCGCGTAGCTGATAATAAGTCCTGCAAAGAGGAAGGGTTAGGCGTGAGATTAGTAATCCCACTCTGTAAAAAGAAGACCATTGTCACCAAAACTTCAGAGCTCTAGCTTAAAGTCCTATATCCTACTGGGAATGCAAAGGAATAAAAAAATTCACATTTCTAGGAAGCATCATCTCAACTACAGGCAGACGGAATGGATGAGGTTGTCCAGACCAGCCAGAATCGAGAAGGCAAGACAAACCTTCATCACTCTGAAATCAGTTTGGAAATCATCTGCACTCACCATAAAGAACAAAATTCGTATTTTTAACACCAGTGTTAAGTCAGTTCTTCTATATTGGTCAGAAACTGAACAGGTCACAAAAACCGTCATACTTTTACGAGCAGCTATCTTCACTCCATACTGTAGATCAGATGGCTAGTTGGGAAGAATCAGCAACAAAAATCTCTAGGAATGAACCAACCAAGAAACCATTGCTCAACAAATATGTAGAAGAAAACAGAGATGGCTCGGTCACACAACGAGGAGACCATTGGTTGACATCGCACACCAGTCCATTGCTCAAGTGGAACCCAAGTTGGGCTTGCTGTCGAGTGCGTCATGGGGTAGATCATGTGAGGAGGAGATAAGAGGCTATGGGTAATCTTGGGACCAGCTAAAGAGGACTGAAGAGAACATGGCGAAATGGAGGTGTGCTGTTGAATCCCCATGTTCCACTCGGAACCCACGGGAATAATGTAATAGTTTCTCTATAAACGTAGTAATTTAGAGCATTGATGACAGAAATAGAGTATTTGCCGTATTTCAACTATTTAAAATGAATAGTAATTCAGTCTACTACATTTGTCAGAAAATTCCTGATCACAATACGTGTCTGATGGCTACATCCATATCCCTTCATGTGTCGAGAGGTGGACCTATAAAGATCTTTTTCAAAGTGGAACCAATAGGATTTCCTCCCCCTCTTATTATTGTAATCCAATGAGTTGTAAAACTTGCTTTTGAAGAAACTAGTTAATACTGCCTCACATAATGCGACATCATGACTTGCTGTAAAAATTAGCAAACTGAGACGAACTAATCTCATTTGATGATAAAATACACATATAGTGCAGTATCCTCCTCAACATTTCGCCTGTTTCCAAATGTAAAAGTTGTACATCTTAACTTCTTTACCAGTTTCGCACAAGTGAGCACAATTCTGTATTTGGAATTTTAATTAGACTACTGATATCAAATATAAGTAATAGGATAGCATACATACCAATGATCAGTTTTCGCGACGATGAACCAAAGGGATGTTGAAATTTATCACACCATCCATTTGGGATAGGACTTATCACCGATTTACTATGTCTGATACGTCTAAAAGAGTGCAGATGTCAAAATATTGGCTTGTTGTTGTTGTTGTTCGAATTGATGATACATAATGACCCAAGTTGCCACACCTGACTAAGTTTCGACATAGAACTTCACACATAAAAGTGCAGCAGTTCAACTTGTCACACTCTATGTAGCACACAAATTTAGAAGAAGGAAAAAAGAACATAAAGGAACTGCAATGAGGAGGAATGTTTGGGAGAAGGAATAGGTACACCATGATGTCTGTACTCATACATTCTACTCCTTGTGATCTGTGCCATATCCAATAAAACCCTATTGCCTTTCCATGTTACTATTGTCCCCCCGCACCCCCACCACATTTCTGCTTATTCATGGTTCTTTTGAACCTCTTTTTCCTCTCTTCTTTTGTGTGCTATATGGAATGTGGCGACATAAACTTCTGCTGCACTTCTGTGCAAAGTTCTATGCTGAAATCGATCATGTTGTCTATTCAGACGAAACTAAATTTCAATTATTTCTTTGCGGTGGCTTAATCGTCACATGTAAACTATTATTATTTTTTTTCCATATAAGGAATCACATTTTTTGCTAGTTTTTATCTGTTGTTGTTGTAGTAGTTAGCGTCCACTATAATATAGTGATCACGTGGACTCCGACCAAGCAACTTACATTTACCTACAAACCTTAGATTAATAGGGCATTGACTTCACAGTTTATTGTCTCTGGTACTGCTGACTTAGCTGTCTTGCCTAAGCGAAGTAACAATACAGAACTGGTGTATGTTGTGTCCAAACCAAGTTCACGTTTAATAGTTTGAAAAGATTTGGACATTGGGTGTAAGATATTCGTTATTACAAAAGTTTTTGTGTTTTCCAGTGAATGAAAAAATAATATTGTTTTGTTTACTAACGTTTCGCTATTTAATGCTGCTGCTAATAGCTTTATCAAAGTGTTGTTAAACCAGAATTTACAAAATCTCAGCTTACACACAGCAATTTAATCATCTTTCTTCAGCAAGAGTTATTTCTCACTTTGTCAAGTCGATCATTTGACAAAAATAACATAACCGTTTGTAGATTTTTGGATTCGATAAGTGTATGGAATTTAAAAAAACAGCACTTCTTTACACAATGTGATTGCTTATCACATTTGTGTTGATTTTGTCACTTCATAGGGGGGGGGTGAGGGAGTTTGGAAACCAGGTCAAATTCTGTTTTCAGACAATTCGGAATCCAGTTAATATGAAGTGATTCTGGTATGAGAGACTTTTTGTGATTTCAATATTGTGGTCTGATTCTGTAGCGTGTATATGACCTATGGCTGATGATGATTTTCCAAGCTTTTCTAGTTCACAACTGGATTTCTCAATGGTCGACTAGGAGATCTACAGTGTTCATTTCCTCTGACCTTGATTTCTCACGGGGTTTGTCCGATATGTATCATATCGCATCACATGAACTGACAAAATCAACACAAATGTGATAAACAATTTTCATCATGTAAACACGTGCTGTTTTTTTTAATAATTTCATGCACATATCATCGAATCCAACAATCTACACATGGTTTGGTTATCCCTACCAATTGACCAACTTGACAACCTCATGCCGAAGAATGATGGCTAAGTGGCTAAGCTGAGATTTTGTAAATTCTTGTTTAGCAACATTTTGATAAAGCTATTAGCAGCAGCATTAAATAGCGAAACGTTAGTAAACAAAACAATAATATCCTTTTGTTTTTCATTCACCGGGAAAGGTATACAGAAAGGTATAAAGACATCGTCTGACTTCATTTTCTATCATGCGTTCTATCATTTGTTCTAGTGGGAAGTCTATTCATTCATCTATTCATTAAGATTGGTTAGTATTGTAACAACGGAAGACAAGGGCCAGGCAACAGATCGTTTATTAAGCAAAATCAACACATATTTATAGATTTTAATGTACATTATTGTAGATTATTGTTAGTAGAAAATACAGTCTTTTGATTGGTTGTTTCTCACAGAAAGTTAACCTTGCATCTCTTTGTGGCTGTGTCAGATCATGCATATGCTAACTGTATCCGCCTACGCAAAGCCTTTGTTCTCATTTTCTCACCACCACCACCAATATTGGGGACATAAACATTGACGTCAATTACTGTCTACCAACTTTGGCTAGCAGCCAGCTCTCACCGCAGTATTGCCACTCAGACAAAGCAATCAGAAGACGTGATTTGTCTGAATCGTGAAGTGTTTTGCGCAAATACAACACTACACGGTTCAGACAAATTACATCTTCTGATTGCTTTGTCTGAGTGGCAATACTGCGGTGAGAGCTGGCTGCTAGCCAAAGTTGGTAGACAGTAATTGACGTCAATGTTTATGTCCCCAATATTGGTGGTGGTGGTGAGAAAATGAGAACAAAGGCTTTGCGTAGGCGGATACAGTTAGCATATGCATGATCTGACACAGTCACAAAGAGATGCAAGGTTAACTTTCTGTGAGAAACAACCAATCAAAAGACTGTATTTTCTACTAACAATAATCTACTATAATGTACGTCTTCATAAAGGGGACTGATTGTTTTAAAGTATTACTTTTTGTTGTTATTATTATTTGTTCGTCTCTATAACCCCACCCTACCCTAATACTCTCTAGGTGTGGATCAGTAATGGAGATATCATTTTAATCGGTTTGCGAGACTATCAAGACAACAAAGCTGATGTGATCATGAAGTATCTGAACGATGAGGCAAGAACACTGAAATCATTAGGTACGTTTGTTTTTTGTTTTGTTTTATTTTTCTGTGTGGAATATTTTGTAAATTATTTTCACAAAATGAAATAAGCAGCTTTTTTCAGAAGTCAAGATATTTTTATGTGAAATTGCCCTGTCATTATAATGTGATACAAAATAAAATTTTACAAAACCTTTGAATTGCGAGATATAGTAACGTGAATCTGTGATCTAACAGCACTATGGAACGTATTTCTCTGGTATACACTACTCAACATAGTCGTTAGCGCTTCACCGAGATCATGATCCTCTGTTGTTTAAGATGCGACATGTGGACTTTTCTGCCAATGTGTGTTGATTCCATTCAAATTCGCTTTAGCCATCGCTGTTGCGTCACTATTTGTTTTAAGTAGGATTAGAAATATATATGACCGTGTACGTCGGTGATTCAGCGGTAGATTGCTTGCTCACCACGCCTCATGTGCCCCCCCCCCCGAGATTCGATTCCCGGCCGACGTATTTCTAAATCTCGCGCAGCCCGTAGTAGGCCTGGTATGGTTGGGCTAGCAAACCCCATCCCGTAAAAAAGAATAAACACCACTGCTACTGAAACTTCAAAGTCGAGGCCTGAAGTCCTCTTGTAACGGCAGGAGACGAGAGACTTCAATGCCGCACCATTTGCACAGATCTTTCGTGTTGTGCTACTTGACTTCTGGCCTCCATATTGTGTTTCTTTGTGTCCGTTCTACGTCTCCCGTGTATCTCCGCAACACCGTATCATTTGCTTTCTCTGACGTGATATCTATCTCCCTGCTATTTGATGTTTTTCTGCCGATGAACGTCTCTTTATATACTACTGATAAATCTTATCAGTAGCCCACGCCACACTATGTCCCACTCGGAATGCAACTGAATGAAATAAGAAATAAAAGTAGAATTGATACGGCTTAACCGAGTGGATCATAGGACCAACAGATGCAAGACTTTACGAACTGGTGAGTCCACCTCAAACTTAAAACAATCTGTCTTTACTCACCAACAGAAACACCGTTTTCTTCGAAATGCCCTTTGGACTTACAGTATGAAGTCTTCCAGTTGACGGTTCACTAATGGGAATGCTAAACAGCAGTTCTTCGTTGTGTTAGTAGTCCATATGGACAAACCAAATTTTCCGAGAGAAACAATATGAAACAATTTATCGGATGAAGTTACAGCTTCTGCTACCGTTTTTTCGCTTAACCCTGAAAATCAGTAATCAACGTGGAAATTTCCTTTTACAGTGTTTAATATCCTCTCGTCGAACGAATTGATACCATTTTGTCTTGAAGCATACATTGAACAAAACAGCAACGAAATGGAATTAAAGCGACTTACATTTGATTCATGCATGCTTGGCGGTAAATCAGCTCCACTCTCAGGATACCATAAGAAACTAAATGGCTTTTCTATCTTCTATAGGAAAGCAAAGCTAAAGAAATATCTCTTCAGCTGATAAACGGGCTTATCCGATGATTTCTAAAACCTGGGAGCAAATCATTCATATTTTTTGTCATACGTATGATGATTTTTCAGGGACATTCTCCTAGACTTGGAGGCTTCGGAAATTGCATAGGTTTAGTTAAACTGGTCGCATAATATCAAGACCTTATCATAGCCTAGTTGTGCAGGTAATATAATGGAATTATGTTTTAGAGGTATCAACCGCTGGTTATCATAATTATCTCTCTCTCTCTCCACAACGATTTTTTTGAAACATTTCATAAACTTCCAAAACAGTTGGTATTCTGTAAGTTGTCAAACTCAATTCCAGGCTCCCGATAGAGTTAACTAGATTCTGAAGTGAGGGAGGGACTGATGTTTCACTTTTTCGGTGTTATTTTTGGCGAGATAATTGTTGTTGACATTAATAACTCCGTCGGTTGTGGAAGGTTCCAATCTTATCAGCGTCGGTTGTTGATCGCTGATATATTACCTCAGAAAACATCGTTCTTCTTAGCCTGTTTGCGATGTTTAAACTCTTTAAGTTCTAGGTCTATAATCTTTATAGCAGTCTTATTAGCCGAGTCTGTCAAAGTCTGATACTTCACTAGGTCTTATAGAAACTGTATGACTATTTCGACTAAATTCAGGGGGATCTTCACAATTAATAAAGGTAGAAATAAAAATAGGATATTTAGTGATCAACATCGGGAATCATCCTAAATGACATGCGAAACTAAATTTTAGTACTGTAGAGTACTTGTGAGCAAAGTATGAGACAAGACAATTGGAAGTTGGAGGTGACTGTGTAATGTTATTAGTCTTCACACAAATATAAGTGTAGCTTCTAGCCCCTGTGGAGCATGAAAACTCTGTCCCAGCTAATCTTTCATAATGTCGTGGTATTACTAAGTCAGAAAGGCATAAAGGAAACAGCTTCCGTACTACAAATTTTAACTAATCTTACTTTATTATTAGAATTAATGTGTTGGGCAATTTTTATCGTTTCATTTGGCTACAACTTGTTTTAATACATTTCTTTTCTCATTTTAGACATCTGGATACATAGTTGTTTGTAGGTCAAGCACTTGTCCATACACCATGTTATATATATAACCTTTTATTAAGCCTGCATTTTTTTCTCAAAAAACTTTTATTATCAGGTGAGATCCCAGATACTATAAAATTGGAAGAGAATGATGATATTGAATTCGACGCGAATGCTGCCATCTTCGATGAAGACGAAGATGGTGAGAAAGGATCTGATTCTGATGAAGAAGAAGAAGAAGACGGCTCAGATGATGATAGTGATGATTCTGATGATATGGAAGAGGTGAATCAAAGATTCCGTGCTGAAGCTAGCGTCACTAAGGATCAGCGAAATAATCGTCGAAGATAATTTATTTGATTGGCTATATTGTGGTGTGGTGTGGTGTGGTGTGGTGCGTTGCTTGTTTATAAATAAAACTGGGTTCAAATTTGACTACATAGTGTTGTAAGTTGAATTTTGCTTTTTTTTCTTACTACTGATTTGTTTTTTTACGAGTAAAGTTTTCCAGGCTGTAGGTTCTGACGTCTTTGTTTGGGACTCTTAAGCAGTATGCACTCATGACCGAACCTACTAGGGGTCGAACCAATGACTTTGATGTCACAAGTGGAACTCGTACATCAATTGAGCCACTAGGGTGGAATACAGCATCCATCCCATAGATTCTAACTCCTGCTAATTTCTCGTATATAGCGCGGACACCGGCCAGAGTGTCATCATCGGAGAAAATATCCGTCCTCACACTCATCTTGGTGTTGGACCCCAGTAGAACTTCTAACAGCTTCATCCTATCGTCAGTCACTAGTAGGAACTAGATTAATTTCCAGTTGTTGGTTTGCATGGATATGATTGGTTTCAAGTTTGATCACAGTCCTTGGAACAATTCAAGATGGGGGGGGGGTCATGTGTGCTTACTGGTGAAAAGTCCCAAACTGGGACGAAACAGCTGTCCAGTACTCCCTGGATCTCAGTAGTCCTTTAACTAAACCTCGAAATTTGTAATTATTTCACATATTTGTTGTTTCCTGTTTCTGTCTTCATAAGTGGTGGTGGGTTTTCCATCTTGCATAGTTTCACATGAGTCGTATTCATGTTATATCGAGAATCAAATCCCGGGAGGGTTCTGCTATCCTAGCTAGATGCTTGGTGCTGAATAATGTTTTAGTACACAATAAGTAGAATTGAAGCACTCACTCTTCTAGGCCATGTTTGTACTTGTGTTTCTTAATTATGGCATGTATAGTGAGATTTTTTATTTCTGTTTGTTAACATTTTTGATGTATTTATTTTACCCTTAATTTTGTTTACCACCGTCGTATGACTACGGTGTTCTTCTTTTTTCTGTGTTTATTTAACAACTAAAGCTTCAGTAGTCAGTGTCTCCACAATATTCTTCTTTGTTATTATTACCATTATTATATATATTATTATTTCTTTGGGTTCCGAGTAGAATCCAGAGCCTCAACAACACACATCCCCAGTTTGTCCTGTTCTCTGCAACCCTCATTAACTGTGCCCCCACGATGGTTCATATGACTTGCTCCATGTCACCTTCGGACTCCTAACCCACCCGTTGGTTCCCAGTCGGGTTCCAATCGAGGGCCTGGCGCAAAGTGTCAACCAACCAACGGTGTTCTCAGCATGTGTTCAATCCATCTCCACCTTTTCTTCGGGATATATTTCTTAAATAATAGGTTCTTGGTTGATTCGTTCGCATAGTTCCCTGTTCCTATCCTGAAGTAGGCTGTTGGGAATGCTTTTCGCGACGCGCCAGGTTTCTAACCCATATAAAAGAATTGATTGACTTAATATCGGTGTTGAAAATCCGAATTTTGTTCTTTATGCTGATTGGAGGAGATTTCCAAAATTGATTTCAGAGTGATGAAGGTTTTCATTGCCTTTCCGAATCCGGGTTTTAACATCGTCAATCATCCATCCAGCAGCTGAAACGATATAGCCTAGATAAGTGAAGGCAGTGACATTCTTGAAATTTATTCCGTTGACAGTGATTGGTGCTTGTTGTTGTTGATTGATTCGTTATCTTTATTATCTCCCTCTTCTCTAAGCTCACTTGAAGTCCTGTCTTCGCTGCCAGACTCTTCTGCCAACTTGTTGGTTTTCGTTTGTACGTCTTCGAATTTATGTGATATTAGACATAAGTTGTCCGCAAAATCCAGATCTTCTACAGTATTTTCATCAGTTCAACATATTCCTGCCTTTTCTCTGCACAATCCAGTCTATCATAATAAGAAATATCTCCGGTGCTTGTCGGGAGCCTCATCCAACTCATGTCTCCACTTATAAAGCTTCGCTGAGTTTTCCGCCGTGGATCACCTGAAACGTACCATTGTCATGTAGCAATTGAATATGACTTGCTCCATTATCACCTTCGGACTCCTAATCCGTTGGTTCCCAGTCGGGTTCCAATCGAGGGCCTGGCGCGAAGTGTCAACCAACCAACGGTGTTCTCAGCATGTATTTAATCCATCTCCACCTTTTCTTCGGGATATATTTCTTAACTAATAAGTTCTTGATTGGTTCGTTCGCATAGTTCCCTGTTCCTATCCTTCCTGACCATCTGTTGATAAAAATCTGAAGTAGTAGGCTGTTGGGAATACTTTTCGTGACGCACCAAGTTTCTAGTCCATATAAGGAGAACTGATTGACTTAACATCGGTGTTGAAAATCCGAATTTTGTTCTTTATGCTGATTGGAGGAGATTTGCTTTTTATATACATATGGTTTTCTGTCTTCCCCCTTGTTATAGGTGTTGCGTCATTTCGCTTACACTTGTTTGGTGATAGTTTGAAGAATTAAGATTCGGTGATTAACCTCTCCATCCACTCAAATGCATATTTTAACGTTTTGAATACTTCCACCCTATATGCCATCCTATTGTGTGATTATATGCAAGTGAATGCATTCCCAATGGCCGAGCTTTTTTCTGAATTATTTAACAACTTATACCAGGGTCAATCATTCTATCTCTGTAGCTAAGATAGCTACCGATGCTCTGATAATCTAATCGACTTCGATCTACTAGTTCGACCTATGTAACTTATCTCACAGTCATTAAATGGTATTTGGTAATTGGAATGACGCAATGCTTACACTGCAAATATGGAAAATTGCAATAAGCAGCTAGAGGGAAAGAGAACAAGAAATATATAAAGCAAATTATGAACCCGTGTAAATAAATTCATGTGATTATGAGCAATAAATAGTACTCGAAACGTTGTCATCCAGTTAATAATACTATACCACCCGTGTGTGTGTGCTTGTGTTATATTAAGTGAAATTATGCAGTACGGCGGAATTGTTGCGTAATGTTTTCATTGTCTGCAGGTCTTTTTAATTCTCTCATCCCCCTTCTGTGATTTATGGTATGCATTCCATGAACTATCTTATAAAGTATAGAGCCTGTCTTGTTACTTAATGTACAGCTTGATAATAAATTCGTTGATAAGTGTGTCTCCTTACTGAATTATTTGGTATTAATTTTTGGGATTTTAATTGTCCAATTAGAGGAGCATCCCTGTTACACTTTTTAAAACATGTTTATTCGATTATAAACTGAATGGTATTCAACGAGTGTTTTCCCGTCTCTGTATAGGGAACTATAATTTCAGCTAAATGGTTCTAGTCAATAATAAGTCTTGTTTACACTCTCTCCTAGCCTCGGTGCTCCAGTGGTTGAATACTCGCCAACCACGCACGTGATTTGGGACTCGACTCCCGACCGACTCACTCCTGAATCTCGCTCAGCCGATAGCAAGCACTGTAAAGAGAGGGAAAGTTGTACGTGAGGCTGGCAACCTCACCACCCTGTAAAAATGAATAACACCACTGCTCTACTGGAACTTCAAAGCCCGCGCTTGAAGCTCTCTGTTCCACTCAGATTGGAAGGGAATAAGATAACAAGATAATAATAACTCCTAATCATTTAATTATTATTTTGTTTTATTCCTGTGCGTTCCAAGCGGAACATAGGGCTTCAGGCTTTCAGCTTCGAAGTTCCACTAACAGTGGTGCTTATTTTTACGGGGTTGTGGTTGCTAGTCTTACTGCTAACCTCACTTCTTTACCAACCTTACCACCAGCTTAGTTAGCGAGGTAAGGGAGTGTGTTGGTCGGGGATCGAACCCTGAACCACGTGTGGCGAAGTCGGCGAGCATTCTACTGTTGAAACACTGACACACACACACATTATTATTATCATTATTTAATTTTCTGTTTTTGATTTCTTTATTTTACAGGTTTCTCTCAGATATGATAATCGTATATATAGATGATATAATGTATGCCTCTTATGTGTATGCTTCTGTCTATGTCATCTTGAATGTGTGTGTATGACAAATGTCCATAGACACAAACACACATACACACTCACACACAGTCACTTTTAATGCGTGTATATCTAAATTTCCACATATGTTGTCTGTATTTTGGTACTTTATCATCTTCTTTGACACTTAGGCAAAATACTTGAGTATATATATTCTTTCTTGTCATTTTAAACAAACAAAATAATTGATTTTTATGCACACTGGGGAATGCACAAAGATATACACTATTCTTCTCCTTTTATCTTAATGCTTTTCTCAATGATGTGTAATTTCTATTCTTCGGTTATCATCATCTATCTTCAGAGAAACACAAATGTATGTTAGTCAATCAGTTGAATCGGTTTTGTCTTTAGTTGTTTTAATTATGCAATCGATATTCGTTGTGTGTGGAAACGTCTTTATGTGTGTACATGAGTTTATAGAATACATCGCGAAACTCCATTACTGTATGGGATTATGGTTGTGGCGTTTTTCTCTCCACCTGTTCATCTCTTTTATTTCGAGGACTACTTTCTCATGCTTACTGTTCTTGTGTGTAGAGTGATATTCAGTGCAGTTAGTCCTGCCGGACTCAGACTTTAGGCACCGTGTTAAAGGCACTACCGCGTCAATCACCTTAGAACGTTGAGTCAATAAGTTAGTGAAACCAAATGAGGTAAATGAGGTATAAATAAATCACCGGAAATACCCACTGAGTCATGAAGAAAGATAGAAGACAACTCAGCGAAGAAAATTCTCTTTTTTCGACGTAGTCATCAACAACTAGGCTGTATATTCGTGTATTTTTATTAAATCTGTGTGAAAAATTTCCAGAATTATTTCTAGGCAAACGTCAAATTAATAAAATTACTAGGTGTAATAAGTTGAAGATAGGTAGTGGTACTGTAACAACAGAAGACAAGGGCCAGGCAACAGATCGTTTATTACGGAAAACAACACGTATTTATAGATTTTGATGTACATTATTGTGGGTTAATGTTAGAAGAAAATACAGTCCGTTGATTGGTTGTTTCTCACACAAAGTTAACCTTGCATCTCTTGTGCCTGTGTCAGTTCACCTATATGTTAACTGCATCCGCCTGTCCATTTGACCTTTGACCTCAATTACTGTCAACCAATTTGGCTAGCAACCATCTCTCACCACACTCGTCCCCCCGTCAAAGACTTGCGACTGAAGTTGGTTCGGTCTTCTCGGTTCTTGAGGCTTTGCTCTTTTGTCTTGCTGTCTGGAATCTCGGCGCTTGCGGATGTTCACTTGTTTCTCTGTGTTTACCATTGCGATTGTGTCTGCGTAACCCCATCTCAACGTGACCATATATGGTCCTTCCCACTTTGGAAACTGTTTGCCTGACCCTGTCGCACATTCGTTGGTATTTCGCCTCACACTTCCATATGCTGCTTTCTCCCGACCTCCCAGCAGCGTCCCAAGTAGCAGCCTCATCGCTGACAGATCTTGAACGCCACTCAACTGCGAAGAAGCCTCGAAGTCCTGCGCGAAGATCCATATGTCTCCATCAAAAACTGCAGGGCATAGGCTTTCCATTTGTCGGTAGGCAGCGACACCAAATGTAACAACAGAAGACAAGGGCCAGGCAACAGATCGTTTATTACGGAAAACAACATGTATTTATAGATTTTGATGTACATTATTGTGGGTTAATGTTAGAAGAAAATACAGTCCGTTGATTGGTTGTTTCTCACACAAAGTTAACCTTGCATCTCTTGTGCCTGTGTCAGTTCACCTATATGTTAACTGCATCCGCCTGTCCATTTGAGCTCAATTACTGTCAACCAATTTGGCTAGCAACCATCTCTCACCACAGTACTATTCTCGAAATACTCCAGGTCAAATTAAAATCACAATCTGTAATAATCTGGAAGGTCGGGTAGAAAAGACATATTAAGATATAATTATTCAGAGCGTCGGTGGTACAGCGGTTAGGACGCTCGCCGACCATGCACATGGTCCGGGGTTCGATCCCCGGCCGACGCACTCCTTTACCTCGCTAAGCCAGAAATAATTCTGGTGAAGAGGAAAGGTTGGGCATGAGGCTAGCAACCCCATCCTGTAAAAATAAACACTGCTACAGAAACTTCAAGCCACTAGCTTGAAGCCCTATGTTCCACTGGGGAACGTGAAGGAAAAAAAACTCTGAAGTGAGGATAAAAGTTGTAAACTATGTAGTACTCAACATCACAAAGGAAGAAAGAGTTAGAAATTTGATAAGGTTAAACGTAGTTGAGTATCAGTTATAACGAGTGTGAAGAGGGTGTGAAAATTGTACAAAAGGAACATATGATAATAGTGAATTAATTATTTAAGTTAAAGCAAACTAAAAAGTGGAATTGAAAATTAATAAAAGTTTTTTACAGGGAACGACCAGTGATGAAGAGGTTAAGACCAAGGTAGAAAATAAGAGACTGGACAAACTTCTTTTTGAATACAGTGATCGGGGTTGTTTTGACGAGTTGCCAGCGCGCCTCCGTTATACAAAAAAGCCGAAAGCTAACTCCCTTTGTACCATTTGGTCTCACTTTGTAGATGACTCCGGGGGAGCTATGTGGCTTGAGTTCGCTAAGTGCTCGAGAATTGAGCTAGTAACTGCCTTGCATTGTGCGGATAATGTTCAAAGATGCATTTGGAAAGTGCGCGGCCAGTAGTATATCTGCTAAGTTTTAGTTTGGGTTCAGGCTAGAAACAAGCTCGGGGGTTAGATTAACCAGATTAAGGAGATATCATAGGTTGGTTCGATTTGGATTAAAGGCGAGGTTAAAGACAGGTGAGATTTGGGTTATGTCAAGGAAAGGTTTGGGGTTAGAAGATGAAATTCATCTTTCAGCAATTTGGCTGTTTGCAAGGTTGTTGGAGCCCTTCGTGACTCTTCGGTGCCTGAAGTTTGACTTTGCCGTAGTTCTTATACGAAACTTGTGTTTCGCATCCTATAGCGCTACAAATCATCCCTGGTCATATATATGCATCGGTATTTGTGCTGGAATTTAGTCATAAGTCGACCGTGAGATGGACAGTTTCACGAAGAAGTAGGTTGCTGAGACTCACTTCCCTATGGCAAAAAAGTTCTAATATTTTGCGTTCTCATAATTTTAACTCTTGTAAGGTCTTGTCGAAATTTATCCTAACAAGGTTCGCTTACTTCAAAGATGTACTTGATCTTTATTTAGACAGTGAAAACCGCCTAGCGTATTGAAGGTCTGCAAATTGTCTTTTTGTTTTTTAACTGCCTAATGAAATTCAAATGACTGTTGTGTTTGGCTTTAGCCTTTCACACACAATAGATTGGCATAAGTACTTGTGAAGACTGAGCGTGTGTGTGTGTGCTACTGATAAGATTGGTAGGAAACAACCGAAATCGGGAACAAAATTTTAAGTGAATAGCTATTGAGGTGGAAGTGTTTGCTCCTCAAATCTGGATTTAGTTTACGTCATGGTCGGGGCAACTTTTCACCTAAAGGTTTAACCTTCGGAAAGTCGACAACCAGTCAAAACAGTTTATTTGTCCCCTGACTTAGCCGTCCTTTATTGTAGCTGAAATGTGTAAATAAGGTGTTTTTGCTTTTATAAAAAGTCCTCCACGAAGTCTGTTGTCTTCTTCCGTTATAGTAGCACAAAAATATATGCTACAAAAAAGTCTCACTACAGTTGTAGCAAATTCTGTCATCACTGTAACTCCGTTTTCTCTTGAATTGACTCTTATATGTGATATTGGATGGTTTGAGGCAATCGACTATAGGAAGCCCTGCCTAACCTAGGTTTCGTGCTGATTGGCACTCGTCAGCAAGGCGTGTCTCCAACCTTGAAGGAACTCATGTCCCTTCTAAGATTCGAACCTGCGTCACCCAGTGCCGCTTGCAGTCAGAGATGTTACCATTGAGGCTCACGATTGACCTCCTTTAGGACTGTATTGGATATTGTTGATTGAACACTACTCAGTAACTAGTGTAGTGTGTCTGTTCCTATCTTTGGTGCAGACTGAATTCTATCAGTCAAGTCTGCAATGTGCCCACTACTCTATGGGGCTCACCATCACGGTGCATTTTGAATAGTTCCTATTAGATGGTTGGAGGCAATCGGCAGGAAACCTTGGACACCTAGGTTTCGTGCTAGTTGGCTAGTAATCAAAAATTCACAGTGTACCGTGATGACGAGCCATCTAGCATAATGGCCACAATGCAAACTTGACTGATAGACTTCAGTCTGCACCAAACAGAGGACTAGACATATTACACTAGTTACTAACTAGTGTATAAATAAAAAATGACTCATATATTATTGAGTGAAATTTCGGCAAACGTTTGCTGTAATATTATTATTATTATTTCCTTTAATTCCTAGAAGAACATAGGGCTTCAGCCCTGCGTCTCCACTGAGTTCGGTTCTCTGCTAGAGTTTTCTCCTGGCTCCGGGTCTGCCCACATGCTTTCATTTCCTCTTTTAAATAACCTCCTCCAAGTCACCCCTGGACGACCAACTCGCCGCTTCCCTTTCGGGTTCCACTCGAGCAATGGCTTGTCTAGTGATGTCACTTGATGGTTTGTTTCCTCAGAGTATGGCCAATCCATCTCCATTTCTTCCTGCCTATTTGTTTCACAATCGGTTCCTGGTGGGTTGGTTCGCTCCCAGAGATCTCTGTTGCTGATCTTTTCTGGCTGGCCATCTGATCTTGAGTATTGAGCGAAGACAACTGTTAATGAAGGTCTGTAGTTTGTTTGAGATGCTCTTTATGACACACCAAGTCTCTGATCCGTATAGTAGCACTGACTTCACATTGGAGTTGAAATTCTGGATCTTATTTTTGATGCTGAGTGCTGTTGACCTCCACACAGACTTGAGGGAAATGAAAGCTTGTCTTAAGATATAATAAATCTACTTATATGCAACAGTAGCCTTTTGGAACAGAGAATTCACTACCAATGGAGGTATTCGGTAAAAAGCTATGCGTCAAATTCTAGTCAGACAACTTACTGCCAAATTCTGTCAACTGTAAAAAGGAATTTATTATAGATAAGATTTTAGTCTGATAAATCACACATTGATGTTATGCAGTAATATAAACTGATGACGTCTCGAGCAGAAACTATTGCCACTCATAATCATATCAAGTCATTCACACAACTTTTTCACTTCATTTATATACATGAATGGAATTGATGATTAGACATTTCCACTCATGTATATAAGTGAAGCGAAAGGTTGTGTGAATGAATTGATATGATTATGAGTGGCAATAGTTTGTGCTCGAAACGTCATCAGTTGATATTACTGTAACAGAAATTATGTTATTGCCTCTGATTATTGGAAACTTATTCAAATATTACAGACAGATAATAGTATTTCAGACAGGAATCCGAATGAATCCTGTTTCAATTCAGTCATTCTTATAACTTCATCCATCAATTATATTCCAAAGTCAAGGTTGAAATAAGCATTGTGCATACATATTTTGTATAAAAAAGTCTTGAATTCATGAACGTCCAAGGATTCCACTATCTTCGAAAGTTTAGAACGAAGAAAACTCAGCAAGTAGGCATGAATTCGACAGATAAGGTTTTAAAATCCTGGTCAGGATTGATTTAGCGACAGA